GACAGCGACAACATCAATGTGTTATTTGGCGCCAGGAATATTGGCTGCAGGCAGACAAACGTAAATTAGAGACAGAGAAGAGCAATTTGGCATAATGAAGCAGACGTCTGCGTTTATGCACATTTCTATCATATGAAAACATTATACATTTATTGAACGGGAAGTGGAAAGGTTTTTTTTATTCTCTTTTTAATTTAATCCGCACATTGTCTTCGCTACGGATTAGTACAATAACTAAAATTTAATTATGCATATTTGTTCACCTTACGTTCTATTCCTTTGACAGTTAGCGAATTAAACGCCATATGGCGTGCATATATATTATATAGTTCGCGTGTATGCTTATTATCACTTTGTTCGCATCAGAAATTTTGTAAGGTGTGTGTATACCTTTTACACTTGATCCATCTTGATGCACTTGATTTTTTCATACTTCTATCTTTTGCTTTCTCACTCCTTGAAAGTTACGAAAATGACGATATCTACTCGGAATGATAAAGATGCAGCAAAACCATGAAAATTTGCATAATTTATCCGCAAACGTATTTAAGAGCTAAAAAACTGGGAACCATAAACAGTTAGAGAATAAGAAATTTGTATATATGTGATATAAATGAATCTTATCTTATCTCACACTTAGAATAACCCCGAAAGGAATGTAATCACGCTATCAATGTCTACTGGCAAATAAATATAGTAAAGGGAGTAAATTCAAGTTTATTCCTTATTTTATTGTATTATTATTGTCCATCGTTATCAAGGACATTTTGATAACTTTCCTAAAAACTTTCAATTCCACATAGGAATAGGGAGTTTGTGACACAAAATGTAACTGAAGGCGTCTTCTTGATAAGCTAGGAGCAGAGTTTCTAGATATATTACGGTTTCATTTCCACGATATCGCCGTTTCGAACGCCTTTCATTATCGTCAAGTATTCATTTTCATATTCGGTAACGATTCCGCTCCGAAATCTGGACAGCAATGAAATGGAAAATGATCGACGAATATTTTTGTCCTTGTCCGAAATAATAGATGCGGTACCCATACATCTTTCCAATTCCGTGTAGGTGTCTTTGTATAGTTAATCATTTAGACCCAGCTTGTATGCTTAATTTTCGATTAGCTTCCATTAGACAATTTAAGGTGTCATTGTCAAATTCAACTGGTCGTCCACTTCGAGAGATCCACAGCCAAAGAGATCGTAATCATCAGCATGACACTTATTGGCTTTTAATACATTTCCTTAGATATTGTAAATTTCTTGTCCCTCATGAAAATGACAAGGTATGAATATGACCCTCGGCATGTTTGAACGCATTCGTTTTATTAGAGTGTTGTAAAAAAATAAATTGCACTTTTTAGAGTTTTTTTCTGCACAGGTTGCTTTAGCGAAAACTGCGAGAGAATACGTATTTACTCATCAACGATCGGTAGAAAAGAGCAACGCAAATTATTTGCAAATTATCGCTTACTTGTGGCTCTCCTAACGATACTCATTACGTAGTGACGTGTTTAGCAGCAGATTATAAGATTAAGAAATTCCGTGCTGATCGTCATTAAGTTGATTCGTTCATTCCCTATGCTAGTTTACTTGTTAGAAATTACTACAAGAGGAAAGAAGTAAGAAAATTATATTCGGTCTTTTATAACCTCCACATCACCATTATCCTAAAAACGAGAAAAGAAGTAAAAGAACTAAATTTTCACGCTCTGTAATAAGAAGTAGGCGGAGTTGATTTTTTCTATTTGCCAAATAAAAGTTTTTGTCGCACAGCCGTCTGGACATTGTGTAGACGTGGCCTCTGGAAAATTAAGGGCACTTCAAAACTCTTCTTCACAAATACTGCACAGTTGCGAAGGCAGACAGAGATGGACAGACGACCTGACGGACATGTTTAGTTACATTCCAAATTTCAAACTGACCGACAATTTATATACTTTACGTGTTTTTGAAGCAGGTATCTGCGCCATATTATTAAACAAAATGAAAACAAAAATTAAATTGTGATACCTTATAATGTCGAATAGGCGTGGTCACTTCGTTCCATTTTCGTACAAGTACTGCAGCACAGGCCATAGAATATGCGTTCAAATTTTTCGATATTTGTCTGCCATAGTTTATGAGCAAAACGTGAAACTCCAATATTTTATTCCTGTTGAAAAACATAGGTGTTCTCAGTTTACGTGATGCTGTGGGCGTGTCCTTACATCGATTTGGCGCATTTGCAAAAGCCAACCTGCGTGCAAGAACTTCCAATGTTTCTGCAACATTTGAAGTCGAAAGCTTCATATTTCCGGCCAGGAGACAGACATTTCATAGACGGACAACCGAACAGACGGATATGCGTAACTTAGTTTGAAATTTGATGCTGATCGAGAATGCATACATTTTGTGAGGTCTCTGATACTTCCTCCGTCGTCGTTGCAAACCTTTTCGCAAAATGAATGTGTTTCTCATCCTTCGGTGGTAGGTGTAGAGAGAGGTTAGGCTTAAAAGTAAGCAAGGTCCGTACGGTACCTTGGAATGGAAATATCTGAAATTTTCTAAAAATCTCAAAAATATGTCACCAATTTCATTAAATATCATTAAATATCCTACACCACATTGTCTAACACAATTCGTTTTTTTTTATTATAGAACACAAAAGTTGTATCTTCTTTCTATATAAGGGCATATTCTTCAGGTGCGCATTTACGGGGAAGCAGGCCCAAAACGCAATCTAATGTAGTACAAGTTTAATCCTTACCTAGGGCAGCATTTAAAGATAGGCGTAGATGGATCAAATTTTGAGCAATTCTTTTTTGTATGCAATTACTATAATATTATGGATCAATTTCCATTATCACATATTTCGATTTTTTTATTTTACAAAGGATCAATTTTCGTGAACTCCTTATTAGGGTCCTGCCCTCGGATTCAAAAAATAGACTGAGGATGTTCCTATTTGGCTTAGGTCTTTATGTTAAATCACTATTACGATATAATTTTCATCATGAAGGATTGAAAGTTATAACTTTTTGTGGCATGAACTTCAGTTTTCAATATATGGGAGGAGGGTCAAAAATTGCCCCAGCCGGTCCAAAGGTTTCACACCAAGTTCGAATGCCGAAATACTATTACTTAAGTACTTTTGTCAAGAAAATTTGGAAATTACAATTTTTTGTGAAATGGTCGAAAAAGCGGACCGAACCATTTTCAATGACGTTCGTCCATGGGTCAAAATCCGTCGCTGTGCCAAATGTCATCAAAATATCTGAAGAATTGCGACCTGCAGTTTGAACACAAATTTAATGGACAATCATCAGACGGACAGATAACAGAGAGACAGGCGGACAGAGGGTACCACACTAACTTATGTATGTAATATATGTATGTAAATTCGTGGACATAAAGTATATCTCATATCCGATTTGTATTTTGGTGAACGTCAGATTTTGAATCTTGAGTACCGTCACAAAAGTATAAGTATAAAAAATCCGAAGGAACAAAAATAAAGAAACACGGATTGTATGAGCACCATAAGCAATAATAAGAACTAAGAGTAAGCTTAAAAATATTATATTAAAAAAAAAAAAAAAAAAAAAATCAAAAAGAATTTATACAATTTTATTAATCTTTGCTGGTGGTATGGTCAATGTTGTCATCGTTAGGAAGAAGCCATAAAGCGTTCTCATTTTACAAAACACAATCAGTTAGTTAGCCAGCTACTCAGTCTGCAGTATTGTGTTTACGGTAATCGTGCATACGCTAAACTAGACATATTTAAATATGACATAAATTATGCTCAACTGTGTTCATGTTTAGCAATACATATATCTATATGCATATATGCGTATGCAAAAAAGGCGAATATGTCATTTAAACCGCTACAGATGCTTTCTGATAATATAATAATTTCATAATTTATTTTGAGCTTTAACGATAAATAACAACTAAACACCAAAAACAACAAAACCAATAATAAAACAATAAAAAAGTATTGAGGAGGAAATATGCGGCTTAGATTAAATTAAATTTGCTTATCTGCCATCGATCGTCAGTTAGTTAGTGGGATCTGTGTTAAGCGTATTAAGGGCTTTTTTATTTCGAATTTATTCAAAATTCTGTCTGCGATAAATTAATTATAATTAAATATAATCGCCTAAGAAGCACTGCTACTAAAAGTAGGCATCGTGTTGATTAAGCTCGAGACGCGCCGGTCTCTACCAATACAGATTTAAGCACAATGTAATATTTAATACAATTACTTTAACGCTTAATAATTATACCGCACATCACTGTAAATTATATTAAGCTTGTGTGGATGTATGCAACATCCAGAAGGGTTTAAGATAGGTCCACCTTTTATTGTTTCATGATGGATTCAGAGTCACTTTCTAAATGACTGCGTGAATCAGTTTAGGCTTGGCTGTCCTTCGGTCCGTCTTGTTTTTTGTGTTCAATCGACAAACTACTTTTCGGTCATTTCGCCATATAATACTTTATTTCGAGAAGTAGTTTTATGCCTAAATGTAGGATGATGTAAGGTATTTAATGGTGTGCCGCGGCACACTATAATGGTTTTACTTGTTCTTAGATAATCTAGAAATAGAGTGGAATACTGAAATTACTTATTAACTTTCCTTTGTTAAGGTTAATTTAGTATTTTGTTTGGAAGGACAGACCTGTAAGTAAACCGCTTTGGTTTTCAATCTTAAGAAAATGAGTTATAGACAGACAAAGTTGCCTATATCTGCCTTAGAGTTTGACGGTCAACACAAGAGTTTCTTTTAAAGGTTACAAGCGCGATGATGAAATGTTATACTTTTGCGATGAATGCAGAACAGCTTTAATTATTATATGACGTTATCAAATTAGTTAACGTTTTACACAATGTCAATAAATATATTTTAAAAAATACATATATATGCATAATATATTAAAGCGAATTAAAACTGTAGTTTTTGTTAATTATGAATTAATTTATTATATCATTTATTATTTGATATATTTTTACAGCTTGTCGGCGGTGAATTTGATATGGAATTAAATTTTGTCATACAGGATGCACAAAACATCAAACATATGCTAGAGCTGTTAGATCATTGTCCACCAAATTTACAGGTAAGTCTTTCTTCAATAGTCCTACAATTTGCTTCTTTTTTCCTCTATCAATTTATGGAGAACGTGTAAAAGAAACGTCATATGTTATAAATTATTCTATTGTTTGATGAGAATAATCCCCCTCCAACGCTTCGTCCCTCCGTCATTATGTTTCCGTATATAGCCATGTTTAGTTAACATATTTTGCAATTCCTTAAGGTATTGTTATCAGAGAAAACGTGACTTGTGCTATTTTAGAACAACATCAAGAGTAACACACAAAAACAGGCGACAACGTGTCAACAACAACAGTCTGACTGTTATAAATTATCGCTATTGTAAATGTAGTGTTGACGTGTTTCACATTTCAATCACGCACCTTGACTTGTGCTGTACTTCTTGTTATGGTGCTTTTTTTTTTTTTTTTTCTTTTTTTTTTACCCATCATCAAAGCACGGAGGCTTGTTGTTCATTCGTTCATTTTATCGAAATATTCGTAACATCTGGATGGAAGCTTTAGGGACTCTATGTAGCTCAAATATATTCTGAACGAGTATCAGTATGTATGCAAGTCCGTCCGTCTGTTAGGTAATGCCCCTGGCAAAAGTGTTCCTGGCCGCAAAATTAAAGCATCGTCTGCAAATTTGGTAAAAACCATTGCGAGCTCTCGCAGTCAAATTGGTATTGAAAATGGGCTTAACCAGTGAAAGACAGCCAAGACGAATTTATGGGTTGCTTGCTCGTTGCCCGTTACATATGGCCTACAACCGATACAACGGTCAAAATTTCCATGCACCTATTCTATGGGAAATTGAATTTTCGGTATATGAGCCAAAAATTAAAGGTATGCGACTGGACCGTCTATTATTATAAAGAAACGAAACTTAATTTTTTTAGTTGTTCTTTAAACTGCTCTGACGATAGCCGTAGAAAATTCGGCCACAGTTGAATATTATTTTTTTACAAATTTGTTTTTTATGCTTTTTGCTTGGGAAAGGTTCATAATGCATTACACATATGCTAAGATAACTGAAGTGAAATAATGGGAGACCTTGCTGCATTTAAAAATATAAACAAGCAGACAAATCATAATTTAGAGCAACAAACGAAAAAAAGAAAAATGCATCAGAGTCTAATGCTGGCTTAGCCTTAAGAATTGTAAGTAATTTTGACGTCGAAAGAAAATATCATTATAATAATTGTGGAAAGAAGGAAAGAAGAAATGAAGTCATTGTCACCACAAAAGCAGTTGAGCCGTTTCTGTTTGAACGCGTCTAATTGCTTTTACGTTATTGCCAAGATGTTAGTTGACATGTGCTTCTTTTTATATACATATATATTCGGTTGGGAATTCTATGATGAGAGTAGAAATCGACTACAAAAAGCTAAAAACTCTCAACTAGATATGTTCATCATAAGAAGTCTATGTTTGGATTTCTGCCTTCCTCTCTAACCTATTCTGTTTATAAATATTCTTTTGGTGCACATTTTGATGCTCCAAAAGCGAAAAGTCATAAATTGAAAATGTGAAAATCAGTATATTCAGTTTGAGTTTTTGTTTTTTTTTGTTATTGGTGTTGTTGTTGTTCTTTTTTTGGCTTTCAAAGAAAATAATGGTATGCGTATTCAAATAGGCCGAGAATTTCGACAAACATCTCATTGGCCGTGGCTTGAAATGTTATGTGCGATCGAGTTTTTAAAAAAACACGATACGCTTAGGTACTAATCCTTCAAAACTTTAGTCTTAGCACTTATTTCTCTGGCTAAATTAATAATGATAATAACAATAATAATATAACAACTCAAATAAGCTAAAATAAAGATAAAATAAAAATTCATGTACCTTCGGTGGTAAGAAACACCAGGAAAATTAAAAAAATAATGACTTTTAATAAATATTTAGTATGATCGACGATTTATTGGTGGCCTAACAGACAGATAGAAATCTACGATACGAATCTAATGTAATAAGCCATCATAACTATGTCGATGTGTTTTAATCGCTACCAATTTCCCGCTTACTGTTCTTGCAAAATATTTGTTTTTGAATTAATCCTCAATTTAGCATTCAATAGTTAGGCCTTCTTGTGATTTACACTTAAATGGATGATTTTTGTTGTATTACGTTAAACTGATAACATTCTGGTTGACATTTGACAGCGAAAGCTTAAGCTTTTAATTAACAAAATGCACAAACTTTTTATAATAAATCAAAGCAACTGCTTCTCATACTGTTCCAACAAGTAAATGCTCGCCTTAAAATGAGACTATGAAAAATTTGCAAAATATCCATCAACGGTTGCCACAACTTCTGTATTGGGTAGAATATGTATCATTAAGCTGCAATTTTTTGTCAAGTGGACTGCTTACTGGCTGAAGGTCAGAAGCGGCTGTGTATGACGAATGAAGAAGATAGATATGAAAGATTGCAAAAAAAAAAAAAAATTCTAAAATTTCTATTTCAGGTTTTTCCTTGTGTAGGCAAATTCTTTTAGTCTTCATGTTTTTTCTCGTCTATTTTTTCACCTAATCACTACAGGAGCATTGCGTAATGCTTACATGATAATATTTTATTTTTACCAAAGTGATGTAGAAAGAAATATTGCTTTCACTTTCCACGAAATGCTTGCCTGTTACAAAGCCATCGTCTTTCACTCAATATAAGTAAACTTTTTTCTGTTTTTTTTGTTTTGTGTGGCGCTAAGCGTAAGCCTTACTCACAAGATGGTTAGATTCTTTTAAGGCAACTATTTAATTTTGTATTTTTTAGCTTTCCTGCGAATTGGTGCAATTTAGTGTACGCTTTTCAACTCCTCCTTCAAACCTATTCAATGACAATATAAATTTAAAAGCGTACTTTAGTCCTAACGAATTCACCGCTTAACACGATTAATTTGTATTGTACTGCATCAAAACTTTGGGATACGAAACTTTTTATTTTTTTGTTTAAACTATAGAATATTTATGCTCATTTATGCTTAGATATAATATAAATCAAAAAAAATTTGTACCGTTTTATATCGAAACACTATTCATGTTGTATCTAGACTGTGTTATAAGATACCTTGAGATGATGTAAATCTGTATGACGGGCACGTTGTTATATCGAAATCTGGTTTTCAAATAATTCTTATGAAATTTCTGTTTCAAATGTATATATGTATGTATATAAGAGAAAGTAAGTTACCTTTAAGTTTTCATAAAAAAAAGAAATATGAAATTTAACAAACCTATTTTGATAACAAAAAGCAACAATGAAGGGAATCATATACGGACGGTCGTGACGAAATTTTCTATACACTCACCGTTATACTAAACGGGACTAAACGGGAGAAAGTAAAAGAACTAAATTTTCATTTTCTATGCCATGGCGGCTGATTTTTTATATTTTCAAAATAAAAGCGCTTATCGGATAGGCGTGTGGCCGTTGTAGGCGTGTCCTTGGAAAAGTTTAAGTCACTTCCATATTGTTTTGCAAATTTGATACTACAGAATTGCGAGGTCACATGGACAGACAAGCAGAGAAACCTGTCTATTTGCATTCCAAAATTGAAATTGCCCCAGTATTTTAGTGGGTTTTTGAAGATCAGTTTTGCGCCTTGTAAAGCTATTGAAAAAAAATTCAAAATAGTTACACTACAATATTGGGTAGGCGTGGTCAATATTTTCCACTTTTGTGCACAAATGCTACAGCATCCCCCGTTGTATGAGTAATGAGCAAAAAAGCAATTTTTCGTTCCATTTGAAAAACAGAGGTGTTCTTAGTTTACGTGAGGAATATAAAAATATATTCCCCAAAAAAAAACATAATAATGTTCACAAAATTAATTATCATCAAATATTACAGCTAATATATTTTTTTCCCCCAAAACTGCTTGAAACTTCTCTTATTAACGATAAAATAAAGATAATGGGTGATAAAGAGGTCTTCGCGGTTTTTTGCCACTAAACGCCTATATATCGGACAACACTCACATTTGTTTGTCTTAAACATACCTTTGCTTAAAAAGTGACATTTCAGCTTACACTTTTTGTTGTCTCATTCTTTGCTCGTGTAAAAAGTTTTATTGGTTTGAAATTGAGTGAAATATCTCAAGAAATGTGATTCTTTTTGGCTACAAAAAGGTAAAACATGCGGAACAATTTGAAGTGTACGCTGAGAATGCTGTGAGTGAAACAAGGATTCAGGAGTGGTTTGTTCCATTGCGTTCCGGAAATTTCGATGTCAAAGATGTACCTCGTTCTGGCCGGCCAGTCACTTAAAAGTCAGAGAAATTTTGTAACTGGCGACGCAAGACCGACATGCAAGCTGTCAGGAAATAGCGGAGGCAGTAAACATCAACCACGTGACAGTTTGTAATCATTTAAAAAGAGCGGGCTATAAAACGAAGCTCAAAAGAAGATGACAAAACCGAGGATGTATTTTATTACCGCCCATAAAAAAGCAAACATGAATTGAAATAAATAAGAAAATTATAATCGCTCAAGGCCGCATAGGCATACTTTTCAAGTGGCTACGTAAGGGGAAGCGGGCCCAAAACGCAACCTAATGTAGTGCACGTCCTTACATAGGGCAGGATTCAAGAATAGGCGTAGATGGTCTAAATTCTGAACAGTTCATATCTGTATGAAATTACTATTATGGGTCAATTTTCATCATCACATATTAAAATTTCAACTTTTCTGCTTTACAGAGGATCAATTTTCGTGAACTTCTTATTAGGGCAGGATGGGATCCAAAGAATAGACCGAGAAGGTCCATATTTGGTTTAGGTCTTTATGTTAAATTACTGTTGTGATATAATTTTCATCATAAAGACTTAAACTTTATACCTTTTTGTGGCATGCACTTCAGTTTTCGTTATATGGGAGGAGGTTCAAAAATTGTCCCAGCCGGTCCAAAGTTTTCATATCAATTTAGAATGTCGAAATAGTACTACTTAGCCACTTTTGCTGTGAAATTTTGAAAATTAAAATGTTTTTCTTTATAACAACTATTCAGAATAGAGCGTTACATGGGA